CTGTCCTTAGGAAGTAAAGCAGAATGCAAAGGTAGTACATCCTTGTCCTGGCCGTTTGTCTGCTACTCACAAAAGGGCAAACTTCATGCATGGATGATGTGTGCTGGTTGTGGATCCCCTGCAAGGAGCCAGCTCCTCATCCGGCAGGGCACAGGGTTCTCCCTCCTGGCACTGCCACCATCCTGCCCATACACACCATTGGTGTCTAATCCCAGTGATGGAAATAATTCATTACTCTGCAGAATCATTTTAAAGGAATGTCAAAATTAGCTTTTAATCTCATTTCTGTAAGTTTCAGCCCATTCACTCGGGGTTAAGGCATTCATTAATGGGTATTCTGGATGTTTTGGTTCACTAGAAATTCCCTTTCTGGTCTGACCTCCAAGAGCTGTTCTCTTGTTCTGGACCTGATGGTGACCTGGGATGTCTGGTTTACTTTTAGCTCTGTGTAAGAATTTGCTACCTTATAACCTGTGCTCATGGTGCTGGAATTGTTTTCATTCAATGGTCAGTTATTGAGAATGGTGTAAAAAAAGCTATTTAAAAAAGGTGAGAATTCAGATTGAGAAAACCTTACATTAACAGCTACTCATCAAATCAACCAGCGTGCTCTGGTTTGCTTCCAGCAGAGATGAGAACGTCGAGTTGCTATTTTAAAGCTCTATGTGCAAGACATCGGTCGGTGTTGCCAAACTCCGATTTAAATTTATACATCCTGGCTCAGCCTGTTCAAAAGAAACCCCAACAAACCACCACCAGAATAACAAATCCAGCATCTTTTCCTTAACGCAAATGCCATGATCCGTACTGGGTATCTATTGACTCTTTACCTGATCCAGTGGTTAACTCAACATTATTGTTTCAGTAGTATTATTTCAGGCCAGGTAAAGCACTGGGGTTACCTTTGCAGATGACACAAACCATGGCAGGTCTTTTAATGACTCACAGCTCCATAGCACGTGCAAATAAATAACTGGGATGGTGAAAAATAACCCAGATACTTTATTTTTAGCAGTCTAATGTGATGCTGGTGACACACGAGGCAGGAGGAGGGGAGGGAGGGTGGTGAGCGCTGGTGGATGGGAGCTGTGGGGGTGCAGGATGTGGCTCAGGGGCCAGGCAGGGTGAGCAGGGGCATCCCTAACTCACCTGAGGTGTGGGGTCTTGGAGGGACCTTAAGGGGTCTTTAACCTGCCAGAGGGGAGACTGAGCTGAGCTCTTAGGCAGAAGCTCTTCCCTGTGAGGGTGCTGAGGCGCTGGCACAGGGTGCCCAGAGAAGCTGTGGCTGCCCCATCCCTGGCAGTGTTCAAGGCCAGGTTGGACACAGGGGCTTGGAGCAAGCTGCTCTAGTGGAAGGGGTCCCTGCCTGTGGCAGGGGTTGGAGCTGGGGGAGCTTTAAGGTCCCTTCATCCCAAACCAGGCTGGGGTTCTATGGGTGAGCTGGCCAGGGCTGGAGGATGCTCTAAACCCATCAGGGACCTCAGCGGTGCCTGTTGCTGGTGTCAGCACCTGGGTAAATGATGCCGTAAGAGCAGCTCTGACTTTCTGCCTTTCAAGAACTGTAAAAGAAACTGTGCCCTGCTCTTATGGCGAGGCAGCTGTAAGTGAATGGCGACTCATATCTGCATGTGAGTGACTCTGTTGTCCTTAACGCACTGTGTATTTGGTCCTGAGTGTTGTGTCCTACCCTGTGCCATTGGGGAACAGAGCTGGGCTTGCATCTTGTACAAAAAGCACAGTCTCTGCTCATAGAAGTGAGCAGCATGACAGGAGGGAGCAGGGCTGGGTTGTCAAGGGAAGCTTTGTGGGACAGAGCTGTCACCAAAACCCCTCTGTGTGGGGGTACCGCTGACTTTGGGCTTGGTTCCTTTTTAATCTCTATGTGAATGTTAGACCTGTGGAGGAAAGCAGCCTGACTTGAATGCAACTGGCATATTCTAGGGGCAGGGGGAAGGAGAGGATTGCTCCTGCAAGTGGGCACAAGAGGGTATTCCTCCTCACTGAGGAGCTTTTCCCTGCTGCAGTGAATTGCAGGATATTTACTGGATGTGCACCCTGATGAGCCAGGCCATGGAACGAAACGAGCCCAGCATTGCCCTGAGTTCCTTGGCTGGGATGAATCGGGCTGGAGAGCATCCCACTGAATCTTGGGCTGCTCTCAGCTTGTATTTTTAGAATAATTGCTATAGACATTCTTTGGGATTTATTTTTTTGCTTAAAAACCACAACAGCCATTCATATATTTAACAATATATATTTATATATATATATAATTTCTAGATCAGTACATTCATCAGTACTTGTTTTTCTTCACAAACAGAAGAACTCTTACAATAGTAGACTTTCTAAAATAAATACTATTAAAATAGAGCTTCAAAATAAATATTCTATACAAAGAAAACCTTCTGTGGTAACTTCTCAAGGTGTGTATGTGGCAGGGTGGTAATGGAAGGGGGGACCTTTATCAGCGTAGGAGAGGAGGGGGAATGCCCAGTGCTGGGAAAGGGTGAGGGTTGGTCTGGTGGGAAAGCCAGTGCCTGGGGAGCAGTGGTGTTGAATTTAGTCACTACTCCTTGTAGCAGCACTGGGCTGGAGGGTGCAGGGGGGCTCTGTTGAAGCTGCTCTGCTGACAGTGAGCTCCAGCCAGGGATGCGATGTGGCATTGCCCATGAAGTCACCCCTTCTTGCTTCTGCGTGCGGGCAGGGGACAAAACCTTGCAATGAACCTGCAATGAGCAGGTCAAGGTGGTAAAGCCGAAGCATCCTGCCACCCTCCTCCTCCTCCCGTGGTGGCACAGTGCCTGTTCCAGAGGAACCTGCCCTCACCTCCCCGCTTGCCTTTGCCATCCCACCCCACTGCAGTGACACAGCCGGAGGCCAGAAGCATCCTGACGAGGTTTGTGCTCATTCGCAGCCATTCCTCAGCCTGCAAGGGGGGACCCGACCTGCAGGAGGACGGCCAGAGCTGGGGTTGCACCATGCACATGGTACGTCTCAGGGGGTGGCAGGAGACCCAAGTACCTTAAAAGGGGAGGGAGAAAGGAGGCATTGGGATGAGGGAAGAGAAGGGATAAGGAATCCTTGATTGGAGACGTACCCTCCAGCACAGCCCCTGCCTTGGCTGACCCCAACCTTTACGAGGGCTCTGCAAGGAGCTCTGCGCTTCCTTGCCTTGCCTTGGACCATGAGCTGATGGAGCAGAGTCTGACCATGGGGTTGGGAGGCTGAGGAGAAGAGGGAGGGTCGCTCTGCTACATTTACCACTGCTCTAACACATCCACTAATGCTTTACAGTCTTCCAGCATGGGACTGACTTACAGGACTTACATATTAAAAGAAACCAACAGAGAAATAGTTTACAGCTATGTACAATGAATGCAAATCCATACGGGATTGCTGGGTGTATGTACATGAGTGTAGATTGGCACAGTGGCGACCACTCCAGCGTTGTGTTTGCTGGCAAGGACCATGCACCTAAGCCATGGGCTTTGCTATTGCAGGTTTTCAGCACAGGTCCCCCAGGAACAGCCAGGGACAGAGGGTCAAAAAGGCAAAACAACCACTGGTGGAAGCCGTTTGGATACTGTATGGTCCCGATAGAGGAGGGCAGCATTTTCTAGTCTATTTGCATCTTGGCAAAACGATTTCTCTTATTAAATACAATACCTTATACATTCAACCAACAGTTCAGCTAGTTGGGGTTGGTTTTCCTTTTATCTCTTCCCCTCCAGCTTGTGCAAGATAATCAGTACAGTTCTGGATCCCCACCTGCTTCCTTCTTTCTGGTGTCCCCAGAGGTGTCAGCATGAGGATAAACTATAGGACTTTGTATCTGGTGACAGATGTAGCATCCCTTTTTCTATACCTGCAATTGAGCTTAACTAAACCCCAGGTTTGACTGAATTCCAAAGCCAAAAGACACCACAAGTCCCATTAGTACCCTCCTGCCAACCCCTATGCAGCAACTGTATTGCAGCCAAGTCAATGGGATTCCTGGAAATGCTACATGAGCTCTGCCTATTGCTTATCTAATTGGAGATGACATTTCACTGTCACTGCTGTGCATTTACTGAGGAAACTTCCTCTAATTACAAAGGAAAAAGACTAGATCTGCATGCAACAAGGTTTCTGCATGCAACAAGTACCTGCCCGCTTCCGAGTGTTGCATGGCTGCACAGAGATTTTTAGTTAGCACCTTGTAGTCATTGAGAGAAAGGGGTTACTGCATCTTCAGGGGTTGCTGCATCCAAAGGGAATGCAGAATCAGCCCCAGGATGAGTGCACGGGCAAAGCCGATGATGTTCGCTTACTGAAAAGCATGGGCGCACTCTTTAAATAGCCTCTCTTCCCTCCCCTGGCTTTCCCATGTGTTTGCTAGCACTAAAATAAACATGAACAGCATTCTGTACACTGAAAAAGACACGTTTTTGTACAGAGGAGGCAGAAGTCGAACAGCAGCAATAGAGATGGGGAACGGGCTCTGCTCCAGCAAATGCCATTCGTCCCCCAGACACAAAAATCTTAATAGTCACTGAGCAGAGAGGAGCTTGTTCCAGGAGAGGAGGTACTGGATTGATATCCCTATAAAATACACCCAGGTGTGTCGGACACTCAGGTTTTTGTGACTTCCCAACAGAGCTGAAGAGGTTTAGAGAAAGAAACGCCGAACGTCTTCGATTTGTGGCGTGAGTTAAGATCCAGCACCGGGGAGCAAGCACGTGCGCGGGGAAATGGGATTTGAGCAACATCCTCCTGGAGCGGGTTTGTACTGGCGGTGTAGCATCACCATTCCATTGAGCAAAACCTACCATCAGCTGCAGGCAGAACGGCACCGCGCTGGTACAGCTGCCTGAGCACCTCCCGCTGCCGTTCCTCCCGGGGGGGGAGCACCCTGCTACCAGCTTGCTTTACAGAGAGGGGCCGAATGGCTGTGGCCAGGTGGGTTCAGAGAGAACAACGTGCCTAATGTGGAGAGGCCCTTCAACAAAGGAACCTGTGGCTCCAGACCTCTGAGGGACACGGAAAGCTGTTGAGAAACGTGGACTTTGTGTGCAATGGGCCCCTCTAACGGGGTGCAGGTGGGGAGGGAGGGCGGAGGGACTCAACCCATCACCTTCAACAGGCTGCTGGTAGCAAATTGGTTTGGAAGGAAAGCAAAACCGAGGAGCCCACCCTGGATACGAATCCAATGCAGCTGTTTGCAGCTGGGAATGGGTATTGCTTGTGCGGCCATGCCTGCCAAGCAAGCAGTTAATGGTTCTTGTGGTGTGCAGGCATGGTGAGCAGCCGTCTGTCCAAACCAGGGGTTTCTAAGCAGCTGTACTTCACGATATACATAGGTTTGCAGCCTTCACTTTATGCTATTAAGATTCCTCCTTGGCCCCATCTACTTGAACTCTGACCAGTTCCAAAACCCTGAATAACCCAAAGTGCTTCAGTTTGTGGAAACAGTTGCTTCTGCTTTCTTCAGATGCAAAAGACTAACGTTATCCTCAGAACACAGGTTATTAAAAAGAGCCAATGCCACTGTGGAGTGTCCTCCCACTCCCCATCCTCCCAAACTATCAAAAGGGCTTCTCTGGCCTGTTTCCTTTGCTCTCAGGCAGTGCCTTGCAAATGACACTGTTTGTGTTTTTACATCTGCATCCGGGCCGGCTCACTTGGTCGTAGCATCTCTGGGACAGCTTGACACAGCCGGTGGCTGGCAGGTAGCAGAGCAAGCAAGGGAGCACCAGGGAGAGGGCGCTCATGAAGGACCAGCGGGCACAGCAGTTTGAGTGGGAGCAGGAGCAGGGGTGGTCGGCGCATGTGCCCTCGTCGTCCTCGTTGGTGCAGTGGTAGAAGACGCCCTTGACGAGACACATGCAGGTGGAGTAGTTGACCAGGTTCTGCGCCGAGCAGAGGCACTCTTGGTTGCACACCCAGCACGAAGGCAGCGTCCGGGGCAGCGCACACTCCTTACACTTGCATTTCCCACAGGCTTCGCACAGCAGAAAGTGCTTGTCCAGTTCCTGAGACACAGGTTCCTTCAGGTCCAGGGGTTTGCAGTTAATCACCTTGGGCTGAATGCGAACCGCTCGGGGGGACGACTGCTCCGCCACGGGGGCTGGGGCCATGTGGTCCAAGAGCCTTTGGTCTGAGGAAGTGCTGCTGCTGCTGCTGATGGAGCTGGGGCGCCCGCTGAAGGAGATCCAGGGGTGGGTGACATCCTGCTCACAGTGCTGCGGGGGCTGGTTGGTCAGGACCAGTTCATGGGGGCCTCGGGGACGCTTCTGGGCTGCCAGCTGGGCAGCGGTGGGATTGTCGGTGTAATCGTTCTCTATGTGAGTGGTCTTCATTTGGTCTATTGGCAGGATGGTGAGTGGGTGCTGCAGGCGCCCATAGGGGATCCGACTGTCCAGCAAGGGCTGGACCATCACAGAGTTGGGGACAACGGTGATGTTGTGGGGAATCCGGGGCTCCATTGATCAAGCAGTCTGAGTACGGGTGGAAAATCTGTTCTTAAGTATTCTGGGGGAAGGAAAGGAGAAAGAAAAGGGGTAGGGGAGAGAAAGAGTGCATGGTTATTGAGTTACCCTTGAGGGCATTGAGTAAGCTGCTCTAGTGGAAGGTGTCCCTGCCCGTGGCAGGGGTTGGAACTGGATGAGCTTTAAGGTCCCTTTCAATCCAAACCGTTCTGTGGCTCTACCCTACAACCTTGGATCAGACAGGGCTCTTTACCGAGGCTGATTATTGTGCATAAGGTCTTCTAGGGTAAACTTAGAAGGGAGTCAGAGCATTTGCCTGTGTACAAAATCTATCACCCTTCACTGCTGTGTTCCCCTCCCTAAACTTGGTCCTATACAGCTCCTCTGGTCCTGGGCGGGCCACCACTACTGCAGGGCCCTGAAGTGCCCGTGTCTCATTTTTTCAGGGGGAAAGCCCATCTCAGGGTTACTGCTGTGTGTTCACATGCTTTTTTGTCAGCAAACTGCCTGAAGCGACTTATCTAAGGTTTGGGGTTTTTCCTCAATTGACCCTGATCCCTAAAAGCCCTCATGCAAAACTGTGGCTCGTGGGAGCATTGCCCTGGTACAAAGACGCTTTGGAACATGGGGTGAGCACTCATCCTTGCTCACCCCGAATCTGCCTGCGGGAGGGCGGCTTGGCTTTGGTGAGGAAATGTCCTGGCTCCACTTGGAGCCGCTGGGCTCGGCGGCTGCTTTCAGCCTTCCTGCAGGACGTGGAAGTTCTCGCTCAGCAGCTTGTCTGGGTGCAAAGCCGGGTAGGGGAGAGCACACACACGGGTCAGACTTGATTTGTGCACCTCATGCAGGTAACCAGGGCGCTCTGAACCACTTCAGTGGGCTAATACTTGGTTCGGGCGCTGTTTTACCAGCTACACCGGCTCAGCCGTCTGCTGCCGCAGTTTCTCATTTCATTGAAAGAGTGCAATTTATCCTGGAGCCAATCCAAAGATTCAGCAGGACAAGAAACCACAGGAAGTAACTAAACTTAAATCAAAGAACGGAAACGACTCGGTTCAAATTTAGAAAGTGCACATTGTTTTCTAGTAGATGTGCCATTTCCTCACAGGGTGACCTTTATTCATAAATAATAGAATGCTGAAGAGCAGTTTAGAGAAGGGCTGAGGAAAGCTTCAGAGCAACTCGCAGGAGGGGAAAAGCTGCTGGTATCAAGAAAAAGGAAACAGCGCACAGCTTAAGGCATTGCCAGTTGTTTGTGTTCAGATAAACGAAGCTTTTCCCAACAGCATGAGGGAGTTTAATGTTAGAGCAGGCTGAAAACCAGTCAGGAAAAACCATGCGTCAAACTACGGCCAGGATATGTGTGTGTGTGTGTGTGTGTGTGCACACAAGTAAATGTATGTGTATTGCAAGAACAAGCTCCTCTCTAACCTCAACACAACAAAAACTGGAGCATGAACTAATTACTCATTTATGGAAGGAGAAGGGGAAGTGCATTTTTTCTTTACCCACTGCATAATGTTACCAGAGGCCACTTTTGCATTAGTAAATCATTGCTTTGATGGGTCACTTGGCATTTGAAGGGCTGGAAATCTGCCAGTTCTCCCAGGATCAATAGGAGTGAGGGCTGATGCTGGATGGAGACCAGGGCAGTGACACGGAGTGGGGAGGCACACGGCACCTCTAGGTGCTGGCACCGGGTCCTGCCTGCTGGGCTCTGTCTGCTGCACAGGGCAAGCAGGAGGGAGTGCTTTATCCAGCAGATGATGATTATTAGAGTGTGGTCCTTAGGCTGTTTCTCTTGACAAGTTAAAATTCTCTGCTGGGTCTTAGCCATTCATTTGGGTTTTTTATTTCATTATTCATAGCTCACTGACATCCTGACTCGAGCAACAAGAGAGTTTTCAGAGCATCTCTTCTTATTTACAGTACTTCAGAGTAAAAAGCAGCAATGATTCTGACAGCTGTGGGGCATTGCTTTTCTTCTGTATGTCAGAATCTAAAGTCATGATATAAAAAGGACTTGCGGCAAGTCACAGTTTAGCAACAGATTCAGTTCTGCATGAGCTAGGTGGTTTGTTTGGAGCAAGACTTTGACTTCACAGGGGTTTTGGGGGTTAGTTTTCTTTAAGGAGAGAGATGCAGCTGTGTTGGCTGCCAAGAGTAAGTGCAGCAGAGCTGATGCTAGATGGAAGGTAGCTGGAGGAAATGGTGGCACACTGAAGGATGTTACAAGCCTGACTGCTCCTTCACGTCCCTGGCATCAGTGCCTTCATTGCCCTTCCCCTCTAGCACAAGGCTCTGCGTTCTGGCCTGAACCCACTCCCCCTTGTTATGAAGCCTCTGGAGTTTGGTCTGTTGGCTGCATATTTAGGCTGGATCCACGGAGCACTATTTTGTTTAAGGTGTGGTGTGCCAGCACTGTATGGAGGAGAGCTGGGCAGCACCCGCTGCCTCTAGCAACGTAAACAGCCTGACTTGATGCTGATTTTCCCAGCAGGGCAGCTCTGGTGGCACATGGAGGGGTTCTGCTTCACTGAGGGCACCCCACAGGGAGCCCCTTGCCGCAGCACTACGGGAGAGCAGCAAGCAGGAGGGCAGCAGCCCCGGGACAGGAGTCAGCATCTGGGCTTTACATTAACTCTGTAATTGCACAGTCTGCCACGGTCCAGAACCAGCGATGACATCACGTGGAAGTTATGGTATCAGATTAGTTTGGAGACATATTATAGCCACAGGCACTCTTAGAACACCCAGACCCTGGTACCCAGACAAGGCCATAGGCAGGCAGACATTAAAGATGGCTTAACTAGATATGCTAATGCTGATCAGGATTTCAGAGTTTACTAGCACAGAAGGGAGATGAACCCTGGACTAAATACTGCACTTCAGGATAGTTAATGTTAAAAACTATTCACCTTTTTCCATTATAACGCTGCTTCAAATTGTCTTTCTAAGAGGGAAACTATTTTTGCAGAATAAGAGGAATGGAAGCTTCAACATGGCAAGAGATCTGCAGGTACCTGGGCACAGGATCTCTACTGGGATAAAAGCTCTGGAGTGAAGACAGAAAAATGAAGCCCAGCTCTCCTAATTCCCAGACCCCTGCTCTGGACACAACCTCTCTCTTCTTGAGGATCACTTTTAAATCACTACGGATACACACCCTACCAGCTCTTGGTGCTAGTGCTAAACATGGTCCTTCAGTGCCAGCCCTGCCACAGTTAACTGCTGCCACTTTTCAAGCTACTCTTATAAGACATAAATTTCTGTCCCTCATAGAACTTCCCAAGGACTGTGACTACGCTGCTGCTGCTGGTCCTGTCACAGGAAGTTTCAGCAGTGCATAAGATTGCTGGTGACAGATCCAGGTCAAACATCTCGTGTGCTGAGCTAGAGACTGAGCTGAGTGGTGCTGGTCCTGCAAGCAGGCTCTTCTCCACTGGGATCTAGCCCAGATGACGACAAGGTCAGTATTTTAGGATGTGGTTGCTTCAGGTTCTGTGTCTGCATGCTTCCCCTAGCATGTGCCTTGAGCACATCTTTCCCTGAGCTGTTTCTCCCTTAAGCTTTATGTCTGCATCGCATGAAAGAAGAGATTGTAGCAAAGGGTACTAGGCAGCTGTTTATGTGCACAGCACTGCATCTCTCATGGTAAAGAAGAGGAATCCAGTCAAGTTCTCAGGTTAAGGACTTGTGCTGGACCAGAAGCAAGTCAAGAAGCCAGGCTGTTCCCGTGAGACTGGGTATGTGCATGGATCCTGGCGACTTCCTTGGAACATCCTCTGGGACATCATAACTTGACCATGTTTGGTTTCTGTGCTCCCCAGAGGGGGGAAATGCAGCTGCAGCCAGTCTGAAATCGTTCCAGGATGACTGGAACAATACAACCAAGTCATCCTTTGAAATGCAGTCAGTTTGCAGGATACCTCATGACTGTTCACAGGAGTGTCTGCTGTGATGTCTGCTCAGCAGCAGGGAAGCTGGCTCCCACTCCAGAAGCAGGACACTATGCCCTTCTTCACCTCCCCATCGGACACCTGTCATGCACAGGATGCTTGTCAGGAAGGACAACACTGACTTGAGCGGCGATGTTGGTATCTTATAAACTGCAGCTTCATCCCCAGTCAAAATTAATGCTTGGGGTGACCTGGCAGAAATTAAGACCTTGGAAAAGGACAAGAGCTGAAGGGCTGTAACCCCGGGGTTCTTGCATTGGCTCTGAAGGCCTGCGCAGGGGAGCAAGCTGGGGTTCAGGGGGTCTTGTAGCTGGAGTGACCTAATTCAGCATACGGCACGTAGAAGTGGCCACTGCCCGAAGCCGCCCTGGGTACAGGTGGTGACAAAAGGGAGGCACTTTGGTTGGGAGGGGATGAACACGGGAACAGGCTGAGCTGTCTCCACCACCGCCTTCAACTGGAGTGCCTGAAGGTGCCTGCAGCAGCTGCCCAGGGAGGGGAGGGTTACTAGAGATGAGCTGCAAATGCTAACCCCCCTAAGAGAGAACAGTTCTGTCTGTAGGACTCAGCCACGGTGGTAAGGAAGGACTGAAATTTGTGGTGCCAGTGTTGTGAACAGCTCTTCTTCTGGCAAGGGCAGTGGGGTTGTGCTTGCAGATCCTGAATTAATTGCTCAAATTGAACAGATTTAATGGAACCAGATGTGTCACTTAAAGAAAATTGTAGATTAAAAAGGAAATACGGAAGAGATAATAAAGCAGAATAGGTCAGAGGTACTTGAGCTATGAAACTTTATGCCTTTGTTGTCCACTGCACTAATCCAGCCAGACTCTAAATTGCATTTTAATTGAGGAAAAAAGCCATACAGAATAGTGGTAAACAAAATCAGTTAATCTTTGATCATCAGTAATTGCAGACCTATTACAGCATTAACATGGGCACAGATTCACTGGGCACAATTGTGCAGGCAATTGGCTGAAAGCAGACAGCAAGGAGGCAAATTCATGAGTATGCTCCTGCACTGGGATTTGCTTGTTCCTTAGAGGTAGGTGAAACAATGGAGTTCTTTCCAAAGCAGACATGTCAGCAAGCTCCCATGCAGAGGAAGCTTCTCTTCCCCGTGCTATCCAGGGACTGGAGGGCTGCTCACCACATGCAATTTTCATGTCAAAATATACTTCCTTCCAAGGAAGTACAATGGATTCGGAAGGAAAGCTCACAAACGCGCTGCGGCGCTGGCTTTGTCTCTTCAGCGAGGTATTGCCAATTTCAAATTACTGTTGTACCAGATAATTGCAAGTCCTAAAGTTGTAGGAAACCAACTGTTATTTTCAAGTGTTTGGGTATAATTTCAGGCTCAAACAGTTTGTAAGGTTCTTCAGTCACAGGAAATTCAAACAAACGTGACCGTATGTTTTAATGGGATTTTGGACTTCCCTCCATCCTTTTATAGGAAGCTACATCCTTGTAGGCAATTCCATGAGAGAGTTGTATAAACCCCCAGGAAAGCTCATTCTCGTTAGTGTTTCTCAGAGCAGTTTTTGAAGCAATAAGGTTTACTATATTTTTAAGGTGGGGTTGGGCGACTTGTCTGCCATGTACTGAAAACCAAAATGGAGCTTGACTTCAATAGCTCATGAGTGCAGAAATACAGAATGTTCACAAGTGTCTCATTATCCCTCAGTTAATCGTTTTAACAAGTTCTTCCTTACGTTTAAACAACGTTCCAGATGTAGGTGGGAACAAGTCCCTTCCTCTCAGCATCATTTTAAGCCCAGAAGCAGGTCCTGTCTGGAAGCAGTCCTGCAAAACGCAGCCCTGGGAAGCACTGGTGTGACTCAGACACATCCCCAGTGCCCACAGTCCCCGTGAAGCCAATGGGAAAACAAGCTCCCACAACCACCTCCTGACACCCAGCACCAGGTAAGAGATACCATGGTTTCTTCCAGCCTGTTTCTGAAGGATGCAGGGAATTTCCACATGAGATGCCAACATGCAAACATCTGAACACAGACTTAAACATCATAGAAAAGCCCCAAATGCACTGTTTGGTGTGTGATTGTTAACAGAGACACCACCAGGATGCTCAGAGCAGTAACGTAGTCACCAATAACTCTTTCTATCCTTTGTAAGCTGCATGTACCAGATCAGGGGTCACTTTATCTCCTTCTAATGAATTATGCCTTAATTACACCTCATGAGCAGCCTGACCCTTCTGTTGCCACTGAATGACACCAGTGTCAGTAAGAGCCATTTGCCTCAGCAGACCAAGCCTTCCTCTGGGGTTGCTGGTGCTGGATTGTCCTGTGCATGCTCCTGGGCTGTGGTACAGCCTGAACTAGTCACCAGGAGCAATGCTCTGAGCCGGCGATGGTGAAGGGACAGACTAGAGACCTCCGAATCTTGTCACCTCACAGCTGGATGACACTTCCTCTCGGTTACTATGATGCTAGACCTGTTATTATCCAGGCAAAAGCTGAGTTACAGTCTCTGAAAGTGATGTGACAATCACCTCATTAAGATCAACATGCAGGTAGGAATAGTTGCAGTAAATGTACTGCAGAAATTGCCTTATTTTCTTTGCTATCTGGGACACACAAATCCCTAAAGCAGGGCAACAGGAAAAAAAACAAACCAAGAAAAGCAATAGGCTCTTTACGGGTAAGTCTGAATACAGAGAAATCACCATAATTGAGAACTTTGTACTTTGAAGTAGCACAGTGTCAGGTCAGGCACGTATTTCAAGGCCCTGCGCAAGTCAGCACCATTCAGACTCAATGTAACCAGTGCAAAATTCCTCTGAATTATCACTGCTTTCACACCAACCATGGCGAGTCCCTCTCCTGTGGTGGTTTGGTTACAGGGTCTGGAAAACCTTATCCAGGAGGTGTTGATCACAGCAGCATCCCATGCTCTGGGGGTGTGCACAAACCCTGCCTTGCTGGCTCCACACAGCTGGTTACAGCCCCTCCCTAAAGCTGTTTGGAAAAGAGGGAAATACCCAGCACAGGCATTGAAAATGAAGGCAGGGTATCTGGGATAAGAGCTTTCCTTGCTATCAAAAAGTACTTGCAAAGGGAGGATCTATAGGGCTTCACAGGGTGTGTGTGCTCCAGCTGGGTCAGGGCTGGCTTCCACTGTAGACAACCAGGGTATCACGCAAGGACCTGCTTCCTAGAGGAGGAGGTGGCGATAAGGGAGCAAATTCTGCCATTGCCTTTGTCTGGAATGAAGGACATCCTCTTGTCCAGAGCTCCAAGGCCACGCTGCCACTGACGGAAGTCAGAAAGCTCAATAAAAGCTTTTAATGAGGGAGGACTACACTTGGAGTTAAAAGAGACCTTTTACTAAGCACGTGTTTTTAATGTGTGACTAAGAATAATATATAATGTTGGAGTTCATTAAGCTGAGTTTGGCTGGATTTCCAGTCAAGCTGTAAATGCTTTAAAAATGAAAACAGCTCTTTTCTATAAAGCATATATTAATATTATCAAAATATTGGTGTTAATTATTCTTGTTCCCCTCCTGAACAGCCTTATCTAGCTAAGGAGAGCTGGAATTTTCTCTACGAGTAGTAAGGGAAGGGGGAAAAAAAAACAGAAAGCTGATTAGGGAAACCTGCCATTTTTAAACGGAGACGCTCGATTCCTGCCAGAGTGTGGAAATTCGGAAGCTGGGAAATGAGACCTGTAGACTTCCAAGAAGCTGTCTCTGTCCAGCTGAAGCCTGTTCCTATGGTGCGAGTGAATAAAGCACATTTTGAACCACTAACGTTCAGACCTTTGGGACTCCGATTTCTCAGTCAAGGCTTTTTATTGGAGAAGAACATTTATTTTAAGGACAGAAAACCAAGCTCAGATATGATCTGTGAAGCTAATGGTAGTAAATGACAACCACATTAGAAGGATTTTCTGTGTTCTTAAGGAAATACATTGTATTGCATTTGAAAAGAATAAACCCCAAAGAATACTCGTGCAACTGTTTGCCTATAAAAAGGCAGTTTTAAGTACTGGGCTGAATGTGAAACATCATACAGCAACATGATTATTTCTTTTGCTCTTATGGTTAATATTTGGAAACCCATCAGAACTGTGAATTATCATTGCTGTGGTGCTGCAAAGGTGGTGAATTTTAGTCCTCAGTCTCAGAACAGGGTATTCTTTTTTTTTTTGGTGGGGAAACTGCTTTTTCAGATGTTGCATTTCCCACTATGGTTTAGGAGTTAGTCATGATTCCATGAAAACAGCTTTTGTTTTGCTGTTTCAGGAGGAGAACAAATAATTTCTCCCTTGCACATACCTCACAGAGCATTTCAAAAGGACTGCAGTATTCAGAAATTGTCCTTTTAATTTTATAATACCAATATAGAGTCACTTCTAGCAACAGAAAACACAGTAGCCCATGGAAAATGGCACATTTATCAATGAGACATCCCCAGCGGGGTTCCAATAACTGAGAACAACCCCTCCTCCTGCTATCATTCATTTTTTTATGGAGAAGGGGGAAGCCAGTCATCAGGATCATTGTGATTCCGTGCACAAATTGTAGCTTTATTCTTGAACCCAAAATAAAGGGAGAGGGGGGAAGCCTTAATATTGGGAAAGCTGGGTTTCTCTTTACCTAATTAAAGAGCAATCCCTAAGCTGATTTTTGACATGCTGTACCCTTAGCATGGTATGGGAGAACGGCAGCAGCTGAAGAAGTTTTAAAGAATCTAGAATGTTTCTTTTCTTCCCTGGATAATGCAGGGATGTTTTTCCTCTCCTCTTTCTTTCTCTCCTTCACCCTTTAAGGAAAAACTTGGGGGTTCAAACAATTTAAATCAAGAAACCAGATCCATGGTCACTTAAGGAAATAGAGGGAAGCCTTTTCCTCCTGTGATTAAGGCTGATATTCATTTGCACTGCCATTTCCAAGGGCTGCCTTCCCAGTCCTGCTTTCCTCCAAGACCTTTGTGCCTTTTATATGCCCCTTTCTGTTTTTTCCATTCCCCTCCTAATACTGAATTTTCAGAACATGTCGTCTCCAGGCTTGTCTTTCTCCTGTGACGCCAGGACTGGTACCAGAAAAGAAAATCCTGGCTTATCTTTGCTACGCAGTTGGTGGGGAAGAGCAGCCGAGACAGGTTTTGCCTCCATATATAATATATTCCACATACCTTTGTGAAATGATTCTTAGGCACACATTTTTATCACTTGTATTACTTATCTAGCCCTTAAAATGCATCATCCATCCAGACATCCAGATTTAAAACAAGTGTACAGCAGGACAGGGAAGAGAACAGTGATGGAATAAGGCATAGAGGCCAAAAAAAATAAAAGAGAAAAGGACAGTTGTGTGAAATAAAATGCTAAAGAGCAAAGGTCACACAGGAAAGCTCTGACACACCAGTGCCGAGCTCTGAAGTGTCCTATTATGGAGACAGCTCAGAACTACTTGACACTAACAAGACATAAGGCTGTGGAAAAGAGAGGAAATATGTACAATCAGTTTTCATATGCCAAAGCAAGAAATACCTGATTCTTATTTGTCAGCCCAGGTGACCCCATATTTATGCTTCTTCTTAGGGGAAAGAAGAAGGGATGAAGGAGACGACATCCCATCAACAGAAAGAAGAGCCTTGTTCTGTTATTAAAATCCCTGCACGCAAACCCAGCACAAGTATGGTGAAACCTGCCTGCCATATATGTACACCAACTGCAGATGTTGATGAACAAGCACAGAAGAGAGGTATAAATGAGAGACACGGGCACACAAATGCAAATTCTGCAAGAAACATGATATTCCTTCAGAATGCAAAGTCTCCCGTAGGTTGTGAGGCACCAGGCAGATATCCACTAGGCATAATTAGAGAAAATTGCTGTTAGAAAAGTCATAATCAGAAATATGCTTATGATCAGGGATCTTGAAGGGTCTGGCTCAATGCATCTAGAAAGAGCACAAGATTTTTCCCTTGGGGAAGAGGCTTGATTTGTCTTTCTCCACAACATTTAACATTTGCTCACAAAAGCAGATCTCGTACTTACTTTAAGTAATTCAGCTAGGACCATCTCTCCATAGGCGAGTTAATCCTAAATCCGAGCCGGAGGAGGGGGCCGGACCTGGGAAAATCCTGGCAGGAGCCGCTGGAGCTGCGGGCAGGGACCTGCGAGCGCGGCGCTGTCAGCGGCCGCCGCGATGCTGCAACCACCGCTGCCTGGGAAAATGGCTATTTTATGAATGGGAGGGTAGCGGCTCCTCCTGCGCATGCGCGGCCTCCCGACTCTATGAATGGGTGGGCACCGGGGCGCCAGCGCGCATGCTCGGCTGCCTTTTATGAATGGGGGGCTGGCGCGGCGCGCGCTCCCGGCGGCGGCTCGTGCTTTTTTTTTTTTCCCCTTTCTTCCTTTTTTTTTCCTTCCCTTTTTTTTTCTTTGTGTTTTTTTTTTTTTTATGAATGGAGCGCAGGCGGCGGCTGCGAGTGCACCGCCCCCCCCTCCCCCGGGCTGCAGGTAACGGCGGCTGCCGCGGCGGGGAGACGGGAACACCGAACACCCTCAACCCCGCTCCCACCCGAATCCCCCCCCCCCCCCCCCCCCCCGGGCTCGCCCTGTCCCGGTCCCTCCAGGCGTGGCCGTTAATGGGGGGCAGCCGTGAGCGTGCCGCAGCCCCCCCGTTACCCCCCGCCCGGCCGCCGCCAGAGCCCCAGCTCGGGAGCGGGGCGGCATCGGGCAGCGCTTCTCGTCGGGGCCGGGGTGCTGGGGAGGGGGGGGGTGTTGGTGATTCCCGTTCTGGGGCGTGCGAACGGGAAGGGAGAAGAGATCCGTGATTTGCTCCCGAGCTCGGCGCTGCGGTTTCTCCTTCCCCCGCCGCGCCGTCACACGCGTCCGGCCGCCGCGCTGGGAAACCGCGAGTGAAAACCGCGGCTGCATCCGCGTGTGGGGTTTGGAACCCGCTGGTTCCTTCTGTGGCTCTTGCCTCTCGAGGAGGCTGGAGCTGTGCGGGTTGCACAGAGCCACCCAGAGCGAGAGGCTGGTCCCCGTTTGGAAGTGAGCCACTGATGTTCCCAGCTTTGCTGTTCTGTCCGTGTCCTGCTGGACCTCACCGGGCGGTGTGTGAAGCCCTCAGGGCCAGATGTTTAAATGATCCTTAGCAAAGAGCTGCTATTTTGCTGCTCAAAGCTGAGCTCCTCTGAAAACCTTGCCCTAACCGCATGCCGAGAGTTCCCAAGCGTCCTTATGTGCTTCACTTCCCATTCAGCAAATGGAGAATCTCCATCCTCAGCTGGGCAGCAGCGGCTGTGGGCCGGCTCTCGGGCACAGTCCTCCAGGATCCTCGGAGGCAGGTCACTTCACGCTGCAAATGCAGTAAGAATAATAATGTATTTCTAATACTTGTGAAAAGTCATCTTCAGAGCACAAACCAAGACCCTTCTCATTTCCTGCCGTGTTTATGGCACACGTATTTCAAACCTTGCACAGCACTGAAAGAATTCTGGTTTATCTATATATTTAGTACTAATGTGAACGGTGAATGTATGTTATTGCAGCTACACCCTACAGAAAAGATTGCTCTAAGAGCATGTGCTCCAGGGCTGATGGTTTAATCTCTGAGGGTAGTGGGAGCCGTGTTCACAGGTCATGGGCAAATGCAATTTGACAAGGGAAGGGCAGAAGAAGGAGACTCTCTAAAGAACAGCTTATCTGAGGGGTATGTGAAATATTATGAGACTTCAAATATGCCCACTGGGTGCTTGCTTTTGAGAATGACTAGAATATGGTTGTTAAAAATGTTCCTTTGTTATTGGTTGTGTTCTTTATGGTAAAATACTGCTTGAAGGACAGGCAAGCATAGAAATTCTGTGTCTGATTTCAAACACTGGCAAATAAATGGGTAATGGATGAAAATGCAGTTTTAAAAGAGCTGATGGAGAGGAAAGAATAAAATGACATCTAATGCTGGAAACCATCTCAAAGCTGAGAGACCCCGGTGCCTGAACAAATAAATATCTGCTCTGATCCCCTCATGGTACGGCACTGGCATACGTGTAAATTTTGAGCCTTGGTTGGGGTTTGCAGGCGAGTTGTAATGCTGCAGCAGTGTCAGAGGCTAGCATTCTGGAGTTAAGGGCTGCTCTAGATGAATGCTGTGTTCTGTGTTTCAGGGCTGTGTGTTCAATGCACTCGGGAAGTCTTTTGTTGCAGGACGGTTTGTGTCTCCCCATGAGATGCAGCGTCTATGTGCAACTGCAGGCTGCTGTGTAGCAGCGAGCGAGCCTGACACTGTAATTACAGCGCAGTTACTGGCAAAGCCCAGCTAGACCGTGCTCTCTTGACAGGAGCCCTAGCAATAAAACTGAAAAAGGATGTAAAGATTATTATATGTGTGTGGAGGGGTGAGGAGGAAATGGGCTCAGGCCATATGGTTCCAGGAGAGAACATTCAGAGGGGCTTTCACAGGAAGGCTCTGTGGCCTGTCCTGTGCAGAGCGCACACAACCTGCCTCTGAGCACGCAGTGGTCTCAAGGCTCAGAAGCTGGGTCTGCCTTAGAGGAATGTGTGTTGCTACCCATGATTTTAAGGTTACCTTCCTTTTTTCCCTACCTTTAGAGAAAACCAAACCGTTCCCCTTGCAGCTGGGGTGTTACATGGAACATGCGCTTCCTCCTCTGGGTTTCTCAGTCACAAAATTATTGGATCAAGCTATAATAACAGAACGCCATAAACTGAACCCTGAGCCTCGCTCAGAGGAGCTCCTCAGCCAGCCTTTCTTCTTTACCTGCTCTCCCTCGAGCCCAGGGGAGCTGGGTCTATGGTGAGAGCCTGGCAGTCGCTGCAGCCGGCTCCTGGGCTCGCCTCGGAGCAGCTCAATGCTGGAACGTGGCTCCCCAGCTCTGCCTCTTGTGCGAGTGCGGGCTGGCAGGTCTCCAGGAAGGGCGTGTGTGTCTTGGCCAAAAGCTGGTGGTTTAAGGAAATGCATGGTTCCTAATCTACCATCAGAAAAAGGCAAACATGCAGGCAATTTAGTCAAGTGAAAGTGCAACCCCCTGGGGAACGCGTAACTTGTGCTTCTGAGCCGTTCTGAACGTGTAGCCATGTTCTCTCTTAAATCTTTGCTGCTTGGCGTTTTACTATCTTTAAACCGGATCAAGAGCATATGTGTAGACTTTATCTGCTGCGGTTTTCATGTTCCTCCAAATCCTTTCTGGCTGGTGTTTGGAGGCTTACGGTAAGTTGGCGCGCAGGCACTGCTCCCGTGTGAAGAAGTAGCTAATTCCCTGTCTAAACTGATACTGCATGTGGAATTTGCTAATTTGCTGGCAGTGGGCTCAAGTTATTACAGAAGAAGTGGTTTTTAAACTTGGCCTTGGCTCTTGAAACCAAAGGATGCCCTTATGGGATGTTTTGCCATCTGTTGGTAACACGAGAAGAACTTTTCCCTTCTCGTTATTTATTTAACTGTTTCTCTGGGTTCTAAGGATGGAAACTGTAGATTAACGTTTCCTGTTAAAAATAAGAAAAGGGGATTTCAGTTTTTTAGCACCTCTTAGAAATAGTTCATAAAACCTGGATAACTGGATCTATATTTTTTCATCTACTGAGATTATATGCCTCTTGCATGGAAATGTATTGCTGCAAAATCAGTCAAGGGCAGCATCATATATTTCTGATGGTTTGATGCTTGTGATGAATTGTTTGGATGTTGCTATAGGAATTCTCCTTCCCCCCCCCTTGTGCATTGTTAACAGCAATTATTGTGCTGGTCAATCATGCCTGGAAATAAAGAAGGAGTTTTTGATGTGGAATGACAAAGGTGTTGGTAAAATGGTCACTGCTGTGTTGGCAATGGCATCGTGGGCTGTCAGTCACAGCCTGAACCAGGTCCTTGTTGAGATGCCTAACAGAAATGAGGTGCTACAAAAATAGATGCCAAACAGGAAACAGGGGTCCCTGCTGAGATGCAGAGGTATTAGACTTGCATGCAACTCCTGTAGGGCTGTGCTGTGTCTGTGGGCTTTTAGGACTATCAGAATCTGGGAGGATTTAAACTGATTTACTCTATTAATCCAGTTCTTTGGAGCTTCCTTTTGGATTGCACCCCTCAGCCTCTGTGGGAAGCAAGAGAGAAGCCCAGTGTTTTAACTCAGAAAGGGAGAGAGGGATGGATGAGTGGATGGATGTCAAAGCAGACCCTGAATTCCTGGTGGGTAGAGGGGGGTGCTGTGCCCATCCACGCATCAATACATTATGAGGTGTCCCTGAGCTTTATCTTGCTGCCTTGAAATGCCACGGCACATAGCAGGGGCCTCTCCCGGCAGCCAGGCTCCCTGACATGGGGCAGCACATCCCTCTTCTCGTTATGGAATTACTTCAGGAACCCTGTAATCCACCCTGGAGGTGACTCAGTGTCGTTATCTCTGTTAGGAATGGCACTATCCCGGTTGTACGCTCCTGCAGCACACATGAAAGGCCTGGGTTTCCTTCTCTCTTATCAGGCACCTGTTGCTTGTAGCCAGACGTTACTCACATCCTTTAAGTCACATCTTGTTTTGCATAATTAACACCAACTGTGCTTCATTTCCTTCCTTCCCTTGCTGCTTCACTTTGTGCCCTTACCTGCCTATGGAAACAGTCAGGGTTCTTTTGGAGTTTAATGCAAGGAATGGAAATCAGGTTTGAGGTGGGATGGGTAATGCCAGCACTTCTGCTTGCTGCAGTAGTTCAGGATTCACTTTTGTCTGATAGTTCACTTCGGCTTTTTATAACCATTGACCTGGTTCTCCATGAATAATTCAGTGTTTATGAGCAATTACAGTAACTGACACTGGTAACTGAGGTGTGAGCTCAGCGAGGTGGGATAAAAGCGCATAAAGAGTAAAGTGAAAGGTAATGAGGAGTTTGGAAAGATGGTCTGTGTGAGGAAGATGGAGAACAGGGGTTCGTTAATGGGGGAGAGAGGTGAAAGGAGATCCTGAATGAGCAAAGAGAGAGCATCCAGAGCAAAAACTGTCCCTGTCCTTCCACATCCCATCAAACCATTCATGGTTTGCCCTCTCTCCTGAGGAGGCCAACAGGAGCTCTCTTTTTCACTCCTTTATTTTATGTATTATTTCTGACTTGCCTGCCGCTTTAATTCCACCTGGATGTACCATTTTGTGCCCTTGCTTTTCCAGGTTTTGCTGGTTTGAGGCTGTTTTCTGATGCATGTTTGCTGCCCATTGGCTGGCTCAGTCTCGAAATCCGGACTCACTGTATCA